AGGATCCACGCTGGAGTCGCTCCAACAGCTTGGACGAGGGGGGAAAGATAAGGAGAGCAAAAATGAAGTGCTGGTTGTCTTTGCAGTCTGGCACCGTTGCTGGGAAGCCTTGGCATCTGGACAGCTCACTAAAGCCACACTGAAATGAATAGCAGTGTGCGAGCATGCCTCTAGTCTCTGCCTGTTCTCTTTTGGACGTAATTGATAGCAGAGGTTCCACCGCCGCAAACCGTCTTCCAAAACCAAAGAAAAGCAAACATGCTCCAAAGGAAGGGGCTGAGATGTTGAGTGAAAGAAGTACAGGATGCCTAAAGGTCTGTCAGTCACAACAAGCCGTAGCACTCGTTTGCCCTTCTTCTTGATGGACAAATGCACACATCCCAGAGGTTGGAGATGACGGTCTGAAATGCTACGTGACATTTAGCACTTGACTACGAAAAACAAAACCAGCAGCAGCTCTTTTCTCCTTTCATACTTTTTTATCTGACTGCTTCCCTTCAGTAGTCAGTGGTATACCAATTCACCCGGTACACCGGTTGAAATTCCTTCAAATGAATGAGTTTTGTCACACCTTTTATACTGGAATGCCACAAATAAGCATAGATAATGAAAGTACACAGAAGACAAAACACACTAACGTTACCCCGTTTAGCTGAATGGCTGAGTCAGGGATGTTTCAGTCATGATTCAAATGAAAACGAAAATCTAACAGTCCCTCGATCACCACCTACTGTGTAGTCAGCTGCAGGCAGAAGTAGCCCAGTTTCTTTTCCAGACAATGGACATAAGAGAGTAATATGAAAGGAATGGCCAGTCTTGCTGATAGCACAGCATGGACAACAGCCACAACAGTAGCACGTCATTCAGTAAGCATCAGACGACGCTGCGGCGCAGAGGCCTGGTCCTTCCAACATTATGACAATCCAAAGGCTATCAGGTACTGAAAGCCTGAGAATAGTAATATTTACTAACTTCCAGCGGTGCCGTAGATGTAAGTGTGACTGTATGACTTATAAATTCAGATGTGAAATATTTAGCATCATTTTTGCCAGCTACAGAGATGCTGCATGCTAATATGTACACTCCATAGGGATATCTATATATTGTATGGTTCTGTTTGCAGAATAAAAAATTCTTTAGATTTAAGGCAGCTGTTAAATGTGGTCCTTGGTAAATGTGAAGGGACATCACAGAAAAATAAGCCATGGTTTACCTACAAAAAAGGACCCTTATGCATGGTTCTATTTGAAAAATGTACATTGTCACTTGAAAAAAAAAGGTTGGTATAGTGTAGTGGGTTACACCTCTGCCTTCTACACTGTAGACTGGGATTCAATCCCCCACCTGGGTAAGCCCCCTACACTATACCTATAAGGGTCCTTGGGCAAGACTCCTAACATGACCTTCGCCTACCTGTGTAAAATGATCAAATTGTAAGTTGCTCTGGATAAAAGCATCTGCCAAATAATATAATTGTAAAACCGTTGTGTCCCCAAAACTGTAACTTTACAGGAGAAAGAAAAACATTCTTAACTTGGAAGTTTATGTAACAGGATTTTTTTCCCCAAGTAATTTTGGACCTTTTCTATTGGTCCGTTCATCATGAACTTTTAACTTTTATGCAAGGTAGACTCTTTAAATTAAATGTAGGTACAATAATTTTGCATGACACTATATCATGATATATACTGAAACTGTCAAAAAATGTAATTACACTGTGATAGAGATTTTTGGTCATACCTCCAACTAATACTCCCTTAAATAAGAGAACACTGCCTCAAGTATCATATTTTTTTAGAGTTAAAATGCAACGTAAGTAACAGCTTTATACAGCGGCTGGAAGCAGAGTGTTGAGAATTGCAGTCAGCTGCCAGACCCCGTCAGTCAAGACTTGTGTCCACTCCAGCCACTTTGTCCTGTTTCTGATGGGTGGAAACTCACAGCAGCTTAAATCACTCTGATGCCTTTTACGAGGACGTAAATCTCCACCTGACTTTTCAGTAGACGAGGGCGGCGGGGACGACTCGGAGAGTGTAAACGGCGGTCGGATTGCAGGCAGACATCATAAATCATGCGGCGAGCTTGCACTCATTAATCCCCGTGTCCATCGTGAGTGGCTGATTGTGTCGGAGCGGTGAAGAGAGACTTAGGGAGCCGTCGCAGAAGTGGAGGGGATCAGATAACGGCTCTAACTGAAGCATCTCGCACAGATAACTCCCTGCGCTGGGCAGAGGAATTGCTCTCCGAGGACGCCGTAGCAGGAAGAGAGACGCGGCGTTTAAATAATCTGTCATCAGATCTGTCAGGAGTTGAAAAGCCTGCCACAACAAACCTAGTAGGATACCAGAAGAGTTGCCTATGCAAACCAGAGCAGTGGGGATTTGATGAAAAGGGCCGCCACTTGAAAAGAAGTAGCAATGTCTCTCTCTGTCACTTTGCATGACAAGTGAGGCTCGGCTTTAAACTACTTTCACAAAGGAAGAGCCGGCTCTACTGTTTTCATGGGGCTAAGCAAGGAGCTGGAAATCGATTCTCAGCATGATGTAGGACAAAAAGAGGAAAATAAGGCATCGGAAGAGTCTCTCTTCCCTCGTCAAATGCCTCCAGGCAAACATGACTGAAGAACTTGAGGGCCTGAGGAACGCTTGTCTTGCAGATCTTGCGACAGGCGCCATCCTTTCAAAAAGTAAAATGCAATAAAAAAAGATCTGGGGATTGTTTATTGAACTGGAGGAAGGCGACAGGTCAAAGCTGTCCATACTCCGGATGGCGCGTTTAGTGATCGATGAAACTTGCGAAAGGAGAGAGCATGTAGAGTCAAGCTGACATTTAGCTCCAATGGCCTGGCAAGCAGCAGGGCGAGGAGTGGATAGGGAATAGGAGAAAACCTCACATGCTGCCATTTCATCTCCTTGACTGGGCGGCTCGGGCAAGACTGATTGAGTTTTCCAGGGAACTGACAGTGGAACTGTTCCATGCGCTGTGTGCTCAAGACAAAGCTCTTCTCTGTGCTCCCCTCCCTCTCGTTTTCTCTCTTTGTTCAGGCCCAGATAATGGGCACATTCCAACTCGCTCTGAACGCCGCCATCGATTTTTACACATCTATTATTAATTGGCCATCGAAACGTTTTTCCTTCCAGAAAATCTGCGCTGGACAGAAAAGGGAAGAGGGGGAAAAATCCATCAGACCCTCAGGGTTTTTATCAGCTATGCATCTGGGCACCGGGCCTATAACATCAGGCCTGTTTCTCTCCACTGGACTCTTTACACACGAGTGTACAACTTTGCCTGAACGTTAGCCAACAGCAATCGTAGCTTATTATTGAATTATGTGCTCAATGGCTCACATTTTAGACATGCAATTGATTATGAAATGTGGTCAAAGCATGAGGATGTCACAAATGCATTATTATTTGTAGTTTACAGAATCTTTGGCCCTGCTGTGCTTATTTCAAAACATCATTCATTAATATGCTATATGATGCAAGACATCTTTTATTTGGATGACAATACCTGGGGAAGGAAAACCACAAAATAATACACTTAATTTAATAATCTATTGATGTAATAATAGTGATCCTCTTTAATTCGGATTGAGACCACATTTATATTGCACTACACAACAGTCAGTTCCAATGCCACAATCTGAAGTGCTCTATGATACAGTTAAGCCCTATTCCAGCTGGATTAGTTTTACCAGAAGAGGCCCGGTAATGCAGTTTGTAAGGGATTCGATTGGCCGATTCGTACGGAATAAAGTATGTGTGCAGTTTCCCCAAATTACCTGACATAGCCTGGATCAAAACATCACAGCCTCTTCACTTCCGTTCACTTCAATATTAAGATTATAAATAAATGGATCCAGACAAACAAACAACAACAACAACTTCAGATATTTCTTTCCATTCTCCTTCTAATTAGCCCATCACCAAAGATGTTCTAGTCCTGTTTTGAAGTTGAGGAACTGTGTCAAGAGCCAATTTTTACAGCCTCTCGTCTCCCAATCAACAAAAACAGAGGTATCCATGTCTCCTGCCAGAATGTCTTACATCCCCGTAAGGTCAAGTTGAACAAAGCTACTATTACTGAAGGAGCTCAGAGTTTGAATTATAGGAGGTAATTCACTCTTGAATTACTTAGCTAACTTTTAAAAACAATGGAAATCCATGTAAAAATGTCATGAATCTCATCGGTAATCATTTAAATTACAGCACCTCCCCAGATAAAACGAATCCAGATCGAATACGGCAAAATTTATCACAAATAACAGCAGTTATTCTCACAATACCTATCATTCTGCTGAGCACCGGTTGCTGAGTGATGACGTTTGTGCTGCAGCTAAACATTATTAAGTTTCTACTTTAGCACATTCAATTCAAACGTGATGAAAGGCCTACATCAAATTTTAAACCTGTCGTTGATCTTAAGCAAGCTTTTTGGTCATGTGCGGTGACAGAACAGCTAAACAAACTAGAATTAGCCAGATTCGAACAGAATGCAATTCGGCAAACAAGATGGGCAGTGAAATGCTTTACAGACTAGAACAACATGACACACAAGTTAATCAGGCAGATATTAAAAAGGTGAGCTGAACCTGATATTGTGACAGTTTACTGGACTTCTTTGGCTGAAGGAACCGCCAATATTAAAGCACATTAGATTCATTAGAATTTGATCAAGTACAGATGAAAAACAATTCTCATTTGAACTTTCCATCCTGTTTCCCGCATGCAGCCCGAGGAGAGGGCCAGATGGTGCCTGGACCATTTTAGGAGCCAATTTTAATTTATAAGTTACGTCGCAACACAGAAAAAGCAAGTTCCTTTGATACCATATGGAGCAAAACCTGTGTTCCAAACTGACCCGCACAAATTAGCTTGGGGACGCTTCGCATTATTCGTTCCCTAATTACAAGCCCGCCCACTCTCCAACCACGACATCAAATTGAGTTATCCCAAACTTCCTGCACAGCCACATCAAAGGAAGTTATGTGAACTTACTTAACCCGCTGGATCCAAATGCAATAGTCTGTGATGTAGAGGTCGTTGAGGATGTAGGCCGGCTCGTTCTCTCTGAAGATCTTATGGACGGCCAGCAGGCATTTCAGGACGCAGGCTTTACCTGGAATAAGGCAAATCATTCAGTGGCTTAGGCTAGCAGCACACAATAAAGGGGAGCTTGTTTACACGGGTCATTGAGAAGCCTGCAGGGGGAATGTAAAAGCTTGTCGTCTGTAATTCTGTGGAAAAAGTGGAAGCAGATAGTTAAGAGAGTTGCAAAGAACGCTAAGAGTTCTGCTGTCTGTAAACAAAAAGGTGAAAGAGGACAAAAGTCGAAAGAAATTGAGCACAGCAAGCGTTCGGATCTGTCCGTGAGAGATTAGAGCGTATCCCTTTCCAGCAGATGGGCCCCCCCACATGAGGCAACAGCACACACCTCGAGGCTGGAGAGCTCAAGCCGTGATGTTTGTTGACATGACACCGGTCTCCCGAAGAAGGTGTAAAAATATCTCCCCTGAGTGTGAGGTGTCGGGGCTGGGAGAGCCGAGCGAGAGGATACTCCGGCCGCCCACAGAATAGCCTGGCAGCCGGCGGAGACATTCCAGCCGCCTTGAAAAACAAACAGTGCTCTCGCGCTGAGGAAAGCCTTACACAAACATTTGGTTCCCGTTTAAGCAGGGGCTCTTAGCGGCAGGAAAGAAAAAGAGCAAGGGCTGCGGCTTCCAGCAGGAGGACGCACAGGGAAAAAATCCAGGGGTCTGAATCTCTCTCTCTCTCTCTTATACCCCCCCTCTCCTTTTCTGATCGTTTCCCTCAGTGATTCCTCTTCCCTATCCATTCATTCTGAAGCTTTTCCTCTTTCCTCAGTAACACTCTCCCCATCCTGCCATTCTGAAGCAGTAACTGTGTCCTTCTGCATTCATTCTGAAGCTTTTCCTCTTTTTCTAGCTCAAAAAAAAAAAGGCTATTGTTTCACCGGCCCTCCTGAGGGGGCAGGATGGCTGGCATGCTCCAGAGCACTGGGCTTTGCTGGGCTCTGATGACAAGCTGAGACAGTTAATCATGCACTACAGAGTCTGCAGGGATGTGGACCAGAGAGAGGGAGATGGGGAAAAGGCGTGAAGACGTGTTAGCAGGGTCAGACACTGCAACATCACTGTCACACATTACGGCAGACTAAAGCAGAATAATGATATCAACCTTCAGAGAGGAAGAAGACAGCCAAAGTATACTGCCAAGCTAATGAATAAAACTGGCCCAAAGCAAAGAAACTGATGGATGCATATAAAAGTACAACTAACACTTCATTTTGATGGTCCACTCTAGATACTTTGTGGATGCTCAGTGTGATGCTTTCTGAGAATTAACTCATTAAAATCTGCCCCAGAGTGCTTACGACATGAGCATGTTCACAGTAAAGGGATCAGCAACTGGAACTTGAGCTTTCTGTGAGCTACTGTGTTGTTTATCACTGTATAAAAGAAGCTCCATACTGCCTTCATTGCTGGATGCATAATGATTTCTAAACAAGCATGAGAGCCCAATTCAAAATGCAATTCGCATCACTATGAAAACACATTATTATTAATTCACATTCACGTCTTTGCTTGATCAAATGGTAGTTTGTGACACACAAAAAAATCTAGGAATATTCAGCTTTGTTAGATCAGATTCTTTACATATCAGAACATCAGTGCATGCAACAGAATTAAGAAATCACACTGTTAACCCTTTAAGGCCCATGTGTCAAACACGAGGCCTGTGACTCAGTCCTATTCGGCCGGCGAAATTATTTTAATTTTCTATTCTTAGTAGCCCATTTCACCCTGACATGCACTACAGTCCCCAGCATGCACTGCAACATAGTGTGCGTTCTGACCCCTGTCCCCCAACAACATTTTACAGCCTGCGGTTACACAAAAAGAAAAGAAAAAGAAAAGAAATAAAAAAAAAAAACAAAACCGGATTTTTTCCCATATTTATACTGGAAAAAGAACTAAACAGACGAAACAATCCAAATAAATATTACACTTAGTTAAACAGTGAAGCACTTCATAAGTCTCTTGAAATATCTGCTGTTTATATATACAGGTATGTAGCCATTTTTCCCCCCAGCACTATCAATAGGCATCTTTACTTATGTTAAATAGAGTGAAAACAACCTTATCTGAGCTGAGTCTTTTGAGCAGTGTGTGCTTTCTATGACTTTTGGGGCACAACATGCTGGAGCTTCACATCAATGAAACTTTGTGTCCTTGTTGAAAGTCTGAAGCTGAAGTCAGTTTTGAAGTCTTTTAGAAGTTATGCTGGATCCGCTAGTGCGCTGTGTGTGTGCTATGCGGGCAGTCAGCTTTTGAAATGCAGTGTAGGAGGGATCACTTTGAATTATGAGGACAAAACAAATGAAAAAAGATGTGTATAAAAAAACTGTCGCAATCTGCATGTACTGATCTGATGGATTTGCCAAACAGGCTGATAGAAGGCTTAGCTTCTGTAGCTCAACGTGGAATTTGCTGATGTCCCAAATTTTTGTAAAGTTATTTATTTATACACATCATGGACCAAAGCCGGCAGAACGTTCGGCCTTAAAGGGTTAAAGGAGAAGAGTAAAAGGCAGAAATATTAAAGGGTTAAATAGCGTTCAACTAAATATCTAGTAAATCCAACTTAAATCAAACTTCCCTCACCCTAAACCGTAAACTCACACTAATCCTAACCTTAACTGCAACCCAAGAGATTAAAATTAAAGGAGAATTCCACCAATTTTTCGAAACATCTGCAAAACGTAGTCGTTAAGCTATAAACAAAGTGATTTAAGGTGGTTAAATGTAAAATGCTTTATTATAGAAAAACTGACCAAGTAAAAATTGTTCACAGTGGTGGTTATAGGAACCAGACGTCTGAACAGTTAAACGCCTCTAAAAGCCCCTTGACACAAAGTTATTTGATGAAACACACATATATATGTGTGTATTTATATACATATATGCGCTGTTGGAACAAAACCTTGCATCTCCATTTTTGATGTGTTTCAGTTTTTGACATAATTGAAAAAGCCTGTTACCCTTTATAGCGTGTGTTAATTTCATGGTGATTGACCTAAAGAAACGACCCAAAATTACTTGGAAAAATGTGTGGTTCCATTGACTTACATTAAAAGTCAAATAAGTTTTTCCTTCTCCTGTAAAGTACAAGGTTTTGTTCCGAGAGCAGCAATATACACACACACACACAGAGACACACACACATATTAGACATGGGACCGATCCGATCCAAAATCCTCAGATGTGAGCCCAGTGTCTCATAAGTCTCACTGTACACTGGGTGAACTTAGAAAACATAAGGATTACGGAGTGCGGTGCGTCAGGTGAAAAAGTGCGGGGGGGTCACACACCAGCAGTTGAGCTGCAGCCTCCATCACAGATATGCTTGGTGACGGGAAGATTAAACACCTTAAACACAATACCAACAATAATAATGATAATATTAAAGTAAGAAGCTGTGGTATCGGAATCTGTATCGGTTTCGGCAGTTGTGTATCGGAATCGGACTGGAACTGGAAATTGTGGATCGGCCCATCACCAATGTTACACACACACATATATACACATTCATGGTGAAGGGGTGCCTGCAGGGTGCTGTAAGGCAAAACAGCACAACAGCACAACTTTTTTTTCAGGTTTATCACTATTTTACCATCAACAGCTTCACACATTAAATTCATGTAGGTTCACTGGTGGTTTTGGGTAGTAAATAAAATGACTATATTTGTGCTGTAGACATTGTGACCCCGGCTTCCTGGTTTCCCTACAATTTCACATCAAACCATTCTTAAAGAGTTTGTTTACGTACCAGAGCTTATGCAGAGATTCTGCAAAATTGGTGGAACTCTCCCACAACCCTGGTTACACCACACTGTTCGCTAACAACTTACATAGCAGGCCATCAAAATAAATGTTCGCCCTGTAAACAGACTGATTTTACATGTGTTGTTCTATACTGAGATACTGTACATCTGTGATGTTACCCTGTTCAGATAATTCCACCTGTATGTGTATTTAAGCCTCTCTGTGATTGTGATTACCTTTAACGCTGCGCTCAACATTGATTTTTTCCTTTTCCACACTAAGTAAAGCTCGGCTGCCTGAAGAGCTTTGTCTCTCGTTTAATTCTGCCCTGCTGACTCGCCTCGCATGAGCAGAGGCAAAAATATTTAACGAACACTACCGACGTCTTAACCATCCCCTTCCACGAGTCTCCAGACGCTGAGCGTTCTCCTGCAGAATACCAAACATGCCGCTCGAGGGCTGTTCAAATATTTACCTCAGATTTCATTTCCTCCACTCCCCCCCCCCACCATGCCACCATTAATGGGTTTGTTTCCCTGATACCTACGACTGTTTGCTTTCACAAGTTCAAATGAAGTGCCCCTGATTGGAGCGTACAAGTGCACACGTCCAATCGGATTTCCTCCGCAAATTAATTACGGAGGTGTTACAGCGTGATGAACGGAAAGTGGAGACTGCCGGTGCGGTCGGTGGGCTTCATTACAGCGGAGTTTAATGCGAGCGCTGCTTGGTGGTTGTGCATGTAGAAACTGCAGAGCGGAGCAGCTTGTCGGAACGACTCAGCAGAACGAGTGGAATGAACCGAGGAAGAGGTTCTGCTCACGTATTCAATAACGCTCACCGACTGATCGTCAATGCTCAGAGAGACGGAGCTGCTGCTGAGTTAAACCTATGGAACCTAGAAAGCGTCTCTCCAGTGATCCACTCGGAGTCTGTCTTTGTCCCCACCGTACTCTTAAAAAAGAATGGTTCTTCAAGGGTTCTTCAGTAGAGAAAATGACTCTATATAGAACCATGAACACTTGAAGAACCCTTTGCATGATTAAAGGGTTCTTTGCATCGCTAAATGGTTCTTCAGATTGATGGAGAATGTGTTAGATACAGTTCCACATGGAACCTTTCTGAAAAGGGTTCTATATAGCACCCAAAAGGGTACTTCTATTGTTACAATGTCAAGCCTGTAACTATAGAAGAACACTTCTTCAGGGTTCTTTAGTAGAGAAAATACTTCTATATAGAACCATGAACACTCCAAGAAACCTTTTGCATGATTAAAGGGTTCTTTGCATTGTAAAGGGTTTTTTCAGATTGATGGAGAACATGCTGTAGATGGTTCTATATGGAACCTTTTTAAAAAGGGTTCTATATAGCACCAAAAATGGTTCTTCTACTGTTACAACGTCAAGCCTGTATCAATAGAAGTGCCCTTTTTGGTGCTGTATAGAACCATTTTCAAAAAGGTCCATTGTTGTACATACAACCATTTTCTTTATTATAGAACCATGGACACCCAAAAAACCTTTTGCATGATTAAAAGGTTCTTTGCATCGCTAAATTGTTCTTCAGATTGATGGAGAATGTGTTAGTTACAGTTCTATATGGAACCTTTATGAAAAGGGTTCTATATAGCACCAAAAAGCGTTCTTCTATTGTTACGATGTCAAGTCTGTAACAATAGAAATACCCTTTTTGGTGCTATATAGAACCATTTTCCATGGTCCATGGTTCTATATACATGGTTATATATACCATTTTCCTTATTAAAGAACCATGGACACCCACAAAACCTTTTGCATGATTAAAGGGTTCTTTGCATGGTGAACGGGGTTCTTCAGATTAATGGAGAATGTTGTTTTAAATGGTTCTATACAGAACCTTTTTGAAAAAGGTTCTATATAGCACCAAAAAGGATACTTCTACTGATGCAGGCTTGACATTGTAACAGTAGAAGAACCATTTTTGGTGCTATATAGAACCCTTTTTAAAAAGGTTCCATATAGAACCATCTACAGCACGTTCTCCATCAATCTGAAGAAACCCTTTACAATGCAAAGAACCCTTTAATCATGTAAAGGTGTCTTGGAGTGTTCATGGTTCTATATAGAAGTATTTTCTCTACTAAAGAACCCTTGAAGAAGGGTTCTTCTATAGTTATAAGCTTGACATTGTAAAAATAGAAGTACCCTTTTGGGTGCTATATAGAACCCTTTTCAGAAAGGTTCCATGTGGAACTGTATCTAACACATTCTCCATCAATCTGAAGAACCATTTAGCGATGCAAAGAACCCTTTAATCATGCAAAGGGTTCTTTGGGTGTTCATGGTTCTATATAGAGTCATTTTCTTTACTGAAGAACCCTTGAAGAACCATCTTTTTTTGAGTGCTCATTAAAATTTCCCCCTTCTGCTCTCGTAGTCTGGACTTTAAAGGGTCCATATGATCGAATAGTACCTGCTCTGTGAGGGTCCATGGGGGTCCTGACCACTCAGAACGTAGGCTGCATTTCTAGGCTGTATATGAAGGGTCCTTCGCTTTGGAACAGCCTTCTAGGAGGTAGCAGCCGAGGAAGGCAGCTTAGGGTCTGGGAGGCAGCTGCTGTGTTTTCTCCAGCGTTGTGAAATTACAGGATAAACCAATAAAGCAAAGACTTCGTATTCTTATGTGGGTAACTGTGCGTTACCATCACAGGCTGAGAAACAGCGATTCCAAACATTTGAACAGTAGCGTACAAATCAGAAGGGAATACTTCTTTTTCAGTGATAATAGCTAATTGTCTCCTGGGTTTAGTCCAAAAGGCTGCTGCTTAAAAAAAAGAGCGTGTGCAGTGGCGATTTAGCTGAGAGTTAACAGGAGGCTGGGAGCTAATGAGCTCGTCCAAGCCTGGCCTCGGTGCAGCGAGGTGTTCACCTCGGCCAGCGTTGACGAGCGCCTTCTAATGAGCCGCAGCCACACTAATCCAGCAGCTAAAAAGCCCTTTAATTGCTATCATTTACAAGCATTAAAATCAACACGCGCCGGATGAAGCTCACCACACACATCCTAAACGTATTTACACAGTCTTCTCTCTCCCTCTCTCCCTCCCTCCCTCTCCCTGTCTCTCTCTTCCTCTCTCTCCCTGTCTCTCTCTTTCTCTCTCTCCGCCAGGCGCTTTGATTTAAAGATTACCCTCTCTGAGATATCAAAGTCAATAGCGTGTACGCTGCAGAAGCCGCGCACCGTGCGAAGACGACTCTCTCCGCCTCTCTCTCTCTCTTCCGCTGACAGAAGCAGCGAATTCTGTTGACTTTCCTGTCAGGGGGAGACGCCTTTAGCCCTCCCGCCCCCCAGGAGACGGACAGATTTCTGCATGTTCTGTTATGCTTGTTCCCCATGTTCCCTGCTATATTTACAACGGTGTACAGGAGGGCTTGTCCACTAAGCTACCGTTTCATCAATCTCATAGGCGGGTCATTCTCCTTTTGGAGGGGAAACCATGTCACAAAGGTTGGAGGGCTTAAAATATTAGACACAGCTCCAAAACTCGGTATGTACATTTACACAGTTGACCTAAGATTAAATAACACTTTTCCCTTACGGTTTTCTGATTTTTCTCTTTTTATCCTGTTTCACAGTCGCTCTGCATCTGTAAAACAGCTTGAGACAAAACCAATTTTCAACATTTGAGGAACCATTTTTAATATAAAACAATATTTTTAAGAAGTTTAACTGAAGCCCATTTCACACCAGATGAGACGCGTCACGCATGTTAATCTGGAAACACTTTGCGTCGCTTGGTATTTCACAGCGGATGCGACACGCGGCGCAAAGCAAGAGCCGTAGCTGTTTGTGTTGCGTTTTCACGTAATATAAATGTCTGTATTGTCCATTTATTACTCATATAAGCTTCATGTAGATGACAAAGAGATCAACAATAAAATCTTGACTAGCTGCCATACCTGTTGGTGGCTTTCTCACCAGGTGATGTAGCTCTATATGAAGAGGAGGAAATGCCTGGGTGTTCACAATATTAATCTACTCAAGGGATTTCAGTCAACCTGTCAGAGTTAAAACTAGATTTGTTGATTCATTTATTAGCCTAGACTGTATATTACAGCACAGACGTTGCATTTCTTTACTGTTTCTGCATAGAAACTACTAGCATGCCGCGCAGCACTCATCAAAAATAGACCCAAAGCGTCTTCTTGCATTTCACCGCCGCGGTGCTGTGAGGCCGCGAAAGGCTAAATTGATTAATATAGAAGCATATTGTGTGCGCGGCGCAGCAGTTACTGCGTCTGGTGTGAAATGAACTTTAGGAATTTGTATAAAACAGATTCATGTTTACTACATTAAAAAATATACATATAGTATTTTATTTTAAAAGTTCATTTGTCACAGAGGTTTTGGTCACTGCTGTTATCAGGACTCTTATTTTACATTTTAACACAGTGTTTTCAGTTCTACTAAACTGCCTCTTTGGGTCGAGGCTCATCAGAGAGGAAGCATCTCCAGGCATGAGAAGGCGAGTCACACTCGCTCACTATATTTCATAAATGTATTAATAATTTTGTTTATCAGGCAGCTCATAACTTCTATGTGCCACCGGTGTTCCATGCTTTAATGGCTGAGTAATTAAAATTTTTTCGAAATAATGCCTAATATCATTTTTATTACTAATTTTAAATAGTTCACAAGGTCACCTGATCAGCTAAAGAGTCAGCCAGTTTACAAAATCCTCAGTTTTAACCAGAATGTCAAATAACACCAGTGACTGTAAAACATGTTTGGAATTAAGCTCTCATTTTTGCATATATGATAATAGATGTTAATGGACATATTAAGTTTACTCAGTTTTGGGATTGATTTTTTTTTTGTTTTTTTAATGTATCCACCTGAATTCCCACTCCAAATGGAGAACGACTCAGGCGTCATTTAACAACAAAAAGATAGAGATGGATGTCAGTACAGAGCAAACTCTGCTGAAACTAGACGTCAGTGTAATAGCAAAAGGAGCTGGAGTTGGGGGTTGGGGGGGGGCGGTGTTTGTCCTCATTAGAGCCAGAGCGAGGGATTAAGGGATGAATGGAGAGAGAAAGGCAAACTTTCAGGGTGAAGGGCAGGTCACGTTAAGGTCTCGACCCTTAACCTGAACCCTAACGCTGTTTGAAAAGCACTCAACGGTTCTAATGTGACAGAATCCTGCTGCTGGGCGAGGATGAGGGGGGGGGGCGCAGAGAGACAGAGAGAGAGGGAGGAGGACATAGAGAAGACATAAAGGGGAAGAGAGAGAAAAAGAGAATGAGGGAGAGAGAAAGAGAAGGAGAGGGAAAGAAAAAGAAAGAGTGGGAAGGGAAAGAGGAAGAGAAGAGAGAAGGGAGAGATAAACAGAGAGAAAGACAGAGAAACAGAAGTCGGAGATAGAGAGAGAAAGACTGGGAGAGAGAGAGAGAGAGAGAGAAGGAGGAAAAAGGGAGAAAGGGAAGGGGGGAGAGATGAGAGGGATGCCCAAAGAATGACAGAGACAGAAAGACAGATGGGGAGGGAAAGATGGACGGAGAGATGGAGGGAAGAGGGAGAAAGAAAGAGAGAGAGCAAAAGAGAGCGAGAGTGTAAAACTCACCACACTGGAAAATGTGAGCGGCGTCTTTCACTGCGGTGGTGATCAGAGAGAAGTGGCGGTACAGCGGGTAACACAACACCCGCCTCCCGAAAGACACCAGAACCTCCTGCACCGAGTGATACGTCTGAAACACACACACACACACACACACACACACACACACACAACCACACACACACGCACACACACACACACTTTCTTATTTGGTTTCCAAAAGAAGACAATATAATAAAACGATCCAAATACATACGAAAAGAGTCCAACACAGCAATTAGTCCATCAGCTCTTAACAGCTGGTCCATTTCGTGGTTGAAGGAAATCTCCTCCAACCAGTCATACAGGCCACCATGGCTGAAACAGAGCAGCACTTTGCCTTCGCCTTACAATGGCCTACAATCCGCTGTCAAGCACTGCAAATACTAATAAACATGCCCAGAGAGTACGACAACAAATCAGCATCAGCATGCTGCACATTGCACATGTTTACAGGTATGACTGTGTGTGTGTGTGTGTGTGTGTGTGTGTGTGTGTATGAATGAGTGATGGTAGGAATGCTTGTTTTATTTTATGTTATTTTATTTTATTTTTATTTTATTTTATTCACTACATGTAATTGTCTGTCTGATACTGTGCACTGTGAGCTCCTGTAACCAAAACCAAATTCCTTGTATATGTCAGCATACCTGGCCAATAAAGCCTGATTCTGATCAGAGTTTCCAACAGCAGCGATCAGCAGCTCACACTTCATATCAAAACAAAACCTCGTATCTCCATTTTTATAATTTTTCAGTTTTTGTCATAATTTGAAAATGTCTGTTGACTTTTACGTTATGGGTAAATCTCATGATGAATGGACCAAAAGAAACGGCCCAAAATTACTTAGAAAAAAATTCTGGTTCCACTGACATTAAGAGTGAAGTATGTTTTTTCCTTCTCCTGTAAAGTTTCCCTTTCGGGGATACAAGGTTTTGTCCTGACAGCTGCGATATGTTGGATCCATATATAAACCAAAAGGATATTCAGTCTTAATTACCAGCACTTTCCTTTGTCCTGTGTCAGGGCTGTTGGGTATACTGATTATTTGTGTTATGCTGACATGAAGTGCTCGTAAACGTGTCTTTCTCACAAATATGAAATATTTTTGTCACCATCAACTACATTAGTATCTGATTATTCCACTGATTATTTTGACTCTTAGTCAAGTGTCTAAAATAATGAAACTAGGAAGCCTTTAAATACACTTTAACAGTACAGTCACTCTGTGGTCTGAGAATTCATCTCTTCCTAAACCTACACTAACACCTTTCTGCACTCGGTCACACTTCACTTCTCAACCACCACAGCATCTCTTTAACTCTCTGCATCTCTGTACATTACTATTCACTTTTCTCTTACAATTTCCAAGGAGATACAGGAAATATGATTAAAAGCTACAGAGAAACTGTGACTCCTAACAACCACCTGGAAGACCTGGTAGACACCAAAACTGTCCCCATCAGATAAACAGCACTTAAAGCTTTCATCTCTGAGAGAGGAGAAAATCAAGCTGCTTCAGATCTGAAAACATCCACAGGTGTTTCTGTCCATCCTTCCACTGTGAGAAGACGACTCAGCGCTGTGGGTCTGAAAGGATGTGTAGCTGATCAAGAAGAACCTCACTGAGAAAAGGAGACGGACACATCAAACAAAGAAGCTGAACGATGGACTGACCGCCCCAGAGTCCAGACCTCAACACCACTGAATGTGTTTGATTACTTCAGAAAATGATCAACCAGCTTCTAAGACTGAACTTTGGAGGTGTGTCTGCAGATTCTTTGAGGAACTGAAACCGAAAAGAACGGAAGCTGGAATAAAGGCAGAGTGGACACACTACATACTGAAAAACATCTGCTAAACATATGTTTCTGTCCTACTGCTTAAAAAATTAATGGCCTATACTTCATAGCTTACATACGTATATGCTTTATCAGAACATATTCATTACTTTCAATAATTAACTAACATTGTTTTCACAGTGTGAATTCAGGGCTCACATGAATCTAAACGTGAATAATAGCGTAATTTCCACAGAGTGTAAATCTAGGGTGCATATATGAAGATACATGTAAAGATGAACAATTTTGGACATAAGATTTTGAAAAGAATATCAGCTGAAATATAATGGAAAACACACTTATTTCTCTAATTAAAGTGGTATTCGTCATAATATAGCACTGATATTTTCTTCCACTCCAAACAACGTATATCATGAAAAAGAAAGACATTTGCGAAAATGGTTTATTAAAGCAATAAGCCACTAGAAGCTGTGAGTTACTGCGATTTTATCACAGGAAGGGTGTTCTCCATTTCCTGTGATAAAACTGCAGTAACGAACAGCCTCAAGCGACTTAGTGCTTTAATAAAATGGCAGCCAATGGACCTCTGAAAGAGGAGGACGTTCCGTCGCCCATCGCTGTATCTTGTGGTCATTTCATGATTTTTTTTCTTTTTTTTTTTTTTTACATTTTGTCGTATAACAATGAACACATGATTACACAGCAATGTTTACTGCAAAAACACTAGCTTTATAAGTACTTTTTGGTCACCAAATTACCACCATGTGTCCTATTTAGCACCAAACCAGTGGCGCCCTCTTCTCACGCTGGGGCTGAATCTCAAACGGCTCCCTGCTCCCTACATAGTGCACTACGTAGGAATTTAAATACTGGATCCTGCAGCACAACAGTGAATAATATAGCTAAAAACAGCCACATCCACACTCGATAAACGATGCACTATTTGGCTGTAGAGACTAGAATTTCTAAACTTTCATAGTTAGCTCACTATGTAGGGAGTCACAGCTGTTTGGGATTCAGCCTGGGTTTGACACGACTTCTGACCGAAACACGAACGTTTGAATTGTGTAATTTTTAGACTTTTATACTTTCGTTTTACAGTTAATCACACCATAAGTACTTTAATTCAAGCCTGTGATATTAATGATGGAGCTGTTTAGGTTGTTGGCTCTTTTTGCCTGTTAGCCAGCTGACCAGCCTAGTTCTAGTTAAGAGCATAAGTTGTCAGCTCCTCAGTTTAAACCAAAAAACCAGGTTCTTACTTCATCAGTATACTCGGTGGTCCATGTGAGCAGCATTAGAGTCAAACATAATTCTATTAACAGCACAAGGGTTTTTTGTGCTGTGGCGCAGTGATACAGAGGTCAGTTGTTGTGAGGTGGTCATAGGTCTGCGTATATTGTGGATTTCACAACGGCTTCGAACGCAGCTCAGCCAATCAGATTTTAGGACAGGAACTATCTGTTTTATAAAATGTGTTTGAAACTAATGAATGTGTGTGTATGTATGTATAAATCGCTGTTGTTGGAAGAAAAACTTGTATCTTGTTTTTCAGTTTTTTACATAATTTGAAAATGCCTGTTGCCCTTTATATTGTGTGTAAATCTCATGATAAATGGACCCAAAGAAACGGCCCAAAATGACGTTGAAAAAAGTCTGATTACATTGACTTACATTGAAAGTAAAGAAAGTTTTTTCCTTTTCCTGTAAAGTTGTAATTTTGGAGATACAAGGTTTTCTTCTAACAACAGCGATTTTATATATATATATATATATATATATATATATACACATATGTAGAGAGAGAGAGAGATGAGTTATGATTTGACTTTTGTCTTTTAGGTTACATGTAATGTAAAGAATGAAAACCCTGCATACTGCCAACCAATAAATGCTGATTCATCAAAAAAGGTACTTTTTAAATCTGAGCAGTGGAGTTTAATCGAGCAGCTGTGACAGGCCTGACCCACCACAGACGTTTCATACTTTTATACTGCTGCTGTGAATCCACTCACCTAACAGCCATCATCAAACTCCAGTGGTCAATAAAACCCTCTAGTCATAAGTTTCGATGAGCCCCTCGCCTCCTCGCTCTCTCACTGTCTCTCTCCCACAGAACCCCTTACTTTCAGCCACAGCAATTAGTGCACTAATTCATCCTAACGACCTGCCGTTTTACTGGAGGGGTAAACATAAGAGCAACTCTTAAACAGCTTCAGAGATCATTCTCCAGCCATTAAAACTGCCGCACTTTCAAATCCAGCATCTTCTACGAGCTCGCAGATGGTGAAAAAATGAAAAAAAAAGTGCTTTGGGAAAAGAAAATGGGATTTGTCTTTGTCTTTCTCCCTCCCGCGCTCCTCTCTTCGCTCAGCGGCTTGTTAAGAATGCGCCCCGAGTCATCGTAGCGTGTCATCGTAGCTCATGCGCTCCCCCAGGCTATTAAAAAGCAGTGTAAATAAACCAGCGGCAGGAGGGTGAGCCGACCGCGACGGGTTAGGAGGCAACATTAGTCAGCCGGAATGGAAGGAGGGAGGGAGGGAAGGAGGGGGGAAGAGAAAGAGATAGAGAGACGGAGGGAAGTTCTTTGACAGCAAGAGGAAGAGAGAGAAATCGAGGGAGCAATAAAGTAAGAGAGAGATGGATAGTCTGAGAGATAAGGAGAGCGACGGAGGGAGATGAGAATAGAGATACAGAGAAAGAGGGAGATAGAGAGAGAGAGGGAGAAGAGGGAAGGGGGACGAAGGGCGGCAGAGAGGATGTAGGCAGCTGGAGGATGTCATTAGCAGGTCTCCATTATCAGTCTGGCAGCGATGGCCGTGTCGGAGCAGAGCGCCGAGAGGAGGGTCGGGTTACTCACCCTCACTGTCGCACTCGTCGTGCAAATGGGAGGGATTAAGGGTGGCTGCTCTCCTGGCTCGGAGACAGAAAACACACACACATACATACACGACTGTGCAAAAGTCAGAGACCATTCATTTATTTAATTTCCTGTCAAAACAGCCGTTAAGCAGAAGCTCTTTCTGAGGAGATTAGATTTAAGATAATCCACTTGCTTAAGGAAGGAAAAAGTCAAAGGAACATAAGTGATTAAAAGTTACAGAGAAAATGTGGCTCCTAACAACCACCTGGAAGACCTGGTGGACACCACAACTGCCCCCATCAGATAAACAGCACTGCTTCAGATCTGAAAACATCCACAGGTGTTTCTGTCCATCCTTCCACTGTGAGAAGACGACTCAGCGCTGTGGGTCTGAAAGGATGTGTAGCTGTCAAGAAGAACCTCACT